TGGACACAGGGTAAAAAAAATACTAAAGAAAATCATCACAACTAACTGCTAAGTAGAACAAAAGTTAGACAAAAGGCCTGATCCAAAGTCCATTAAGGTCAGTGGAAAGATTCCCACTGACTTAGATGGGCTGTGGGGCAGACTCCCCAGCACCCCAAAATGCACATTTAGCTAGGTACTCTTCATCCGGTTTGAATCTCTGGGACTTGTTCCCAGCTCTGAATCAAAACTGTTTTTTCTTCTGTACTCATGCTCTCTGTCTCTGAGTGGCTTCGGGGATGTTTTTGAAAACAAAATATATCACCAAGGGGGGAAAAAGCCCTTAGAAGTGTCTTCTATAAATCAGTCTATGGGAAAAAATAAGTCTAAAAGGAACATAAGCACTTACTGTAAAAATTCTCTCTTGGGACACAAATTACAGGCTCCTGCTCATCCAGAGGCTTTTTGGGAAGCTTTTTAAAATCTGGGGCCAGAGCCTCAGCTGGTGCCAATCAGTGTAGTTCCTTTGGCTTCAGCGGAACTACGCTGATGCACACCAGCTGAGGTCTGGCCCACTAATTTTGGCCCTTCTCCTGTACTACCCCCATGACCTGGAGGTGGTTAGCCCAGTACTGGGTTCACCACAAACACACAGTTCAGCAAAGAAAGCATTGCCATTGTGAATGAGCTCATTCCACCACAGCAGCTGTGTTGGCTTTTGCACTTGGAAGCCTTTGAACAGAGCAGGGCAGAGAAAGGTCGTTCTGTTTCATGGAGGATTGCGATATTTTTAAATTTGGTTTCGTTCTGATTTGGAATGAAACCACCAAATTCATCCGCAAAGGGAATGGATCCCTGACTCCGGGCCAGTCTGCGTGGTGTCTACGCTGGAGTTGCAGGCCCTGAGGTCCCCTGCTGTAAGGCCAACTGGCATGTAGGCTGTCCTGGAGCCAAAGACCCGGGGAGCTCTGGGCTCCCCATTTCTGAGGCAGTCTGGCAGGTGGGTTGCTGAGGAGCTGGCGAGCAGGCAGGAGCCAGGCAGGTTTCAGTCAAACCCCTGCCTGGGTTCCATCAGAAGTGAATGTCTCTGTGAAATGTTTTGTTTCCCACAAATCAGCAAATTCCAGTGAACAAATGTGTTCTTGGAATTTTCCCACCCGGCTTCCGTTGAACGTCCCACAGCCGGCCTGGGGCAACTTGTTGATTTTCAAACTTGTTTGTTTAAAAAGGCCAGTTTCTCACCATAAGCGAATTGGGCAAATTCTGGCTTGCAACTAAATTAGCCCTGCTAAGAGCCTGAGAACCCTGTTGACTGGTGTGTGGGTGTGAAGAGCTCCATGTAAAGAGCTGCACACAAGAAGCCACTTGCCGTGCACAGCAAGAAGAAATGTATTGGTCCTACAAACCCCAGGAACAATGCTGAATGTTACTATTATTTATATTACCATAACGCCGAGGAGCCCTCGTCATGGACCAGGACCGCCTTGCGCTTGGGGCTGTACAAACAGAATTCTTGAGCATCATCTACTACCACCTTATCTACTAACTATTTACCTATATGCAGACCTTCCCCTTTATAGAGCATTCCTGTAACAGATGGCAACTCTAACGGTGTTCGCACTAGGGCAGGACTGAGAACCGTTGGCAGGGCAGTGTAGGACAGTTTGCACAGCGGCTGTCTGGGCGCTGCCTGGTCTGTGGATAATTCAGGTAAACACTTCACATGTAAACTTCATTGTGTTCCATTCTAATGATGAAAGTCTCCTGTGGTGACACATGGCCACCTTGCTGTGGCATTCAGTCCCAAGCTTTTGGCTCCCTTAGGTACAATAGTTTACAGACGAAGGCAGGATCATGGCTCGATGGTTTCATGGGATCCCGCAGGGTTTCTCTGGAGCGCGTGTGTGTGTGTGTGTCGCCATATCCTAACACTGCAATACAAACATCAAGTCTCAAGCCAGGCCCTTTTACAGGTTTAACTGAGAGGTTTGTGGTCATGGCCTTACACACATTTCCCACCCCCTTTGAAAAATAATCTTCCCTTCAAGGAAAGGGGAAGTGAGAAGATCAAAGGTTGTGCAAATGTTTTACCTGTACACAGCCTATGTTTACTCAGCAAAACAAAGTTGAAAGGCACAAACATTGTGTTTTTCCTAGGTTCTCCCCACTGCTGATTAGTTAATGATTAACAGTGGACACTATTAATAATAAATAATAATAATAATATAATGTGTATTTGGCTTGTAGCAGCACCCAGAGACCCCAGACAGGATCTGCCCATGGACTGTTTTTGGTACCCTCATCCTCCCTTTCCTCCATTTTTCCTCCTTTCATTTACCACGCTCCCTTCTTGCCTCTAGTTTCAAACTATACCTGTCCAGGCAGGAATGCAACCTAGCAGCACGTTTGTACTGTCCTTGGCATGTTAGCACAATAAGATCTTGGATCGTCATGGGGTCTTTGGTTCTAAATTACATGAAAATTTTTTTAAAGACATAAATAAAGTCAGCTAGCCCCTACTGCGACAGAATCTAGGCATCACTGGCTGGCTGAATTCCTCTAGACATCACAGCAGAAGTAAATGCTGAAGAGCAATTTGAAGGAGAGGGTGGGAAGGAAGCTTGAAGCTATAGCATCTCTCCAGGTCTCCTGAAAACCAGCCGCATGATCATGTCAGATTAGGAGAGGCCCGCACTTTGGGATGCCCAAATGCACAGCCTGTTGACACTGTAAAGTATTAACAGTTTCTCACTTTTCAACACACAGTTATAAGCACCACCACATGGCACAGTGTGTCAATGGACCAAAATTGCCTTCAGTGCTTCAGTGCCTTCAGTCACTTAACTCATGGGGTTACTCAAACGTCTTTCATTAAAGTGGACCACACTTTCATGCAGAAAATTTCTCTTGAAACACCCTCCTTGACTTCCGTGTGATAACGACAATTGCTTACATTAGAAAGTAATATGTAGCCACCCTTTAACGCAATGCTTAGCATCTGGAATGAAGGAGAAGCCACCAGCACCAGGGGCGCAGTAGAAGCTGTTAGATGCTGAGCGCTTTTGCAACTTTTGTGTCCAGCAAGTGCTCCGTACACCACCAGCAAGGGCCCTGCAGACTCACTTTGGGACCACAGTCTAAGGACCTCTGGTTTAAGAATTGTGACTATTCTTATGCAATTGGTAGTGGTAGGTCCCCCCGCCGCCCTTAAAGAAAGAGTAGCCTGGTCAAATTCAAACCTCTCTATTAGGTAGCCAGGAGTTTTGGAGCAGCTGCTAGCTAATGCGATAGCTACTTTTACCTAGTCCCTGTACTTTATTATAAATCCTATTTTACAACCTGATGCATTTGATTTGGTTTAGCTTGATGCAGTTTTGCTTTGCTTTTTGTTTCAGTGCCTGGGATGCCAATGCTATCCCCACCTATGAAGAAGCCCTGAACTGCAGGCCTGCTCAAAGTACCCTAGATTATATACCACCTCATGGCGGGAAGGAGGAGACTTCACCCCCTCTATACGGAGACTTAGATGAGGATGATACGTGGCCAGGTTGCCGCAGACGCAGCTCCTCAGACAGTGTGCTGCTCAGGATCACGCCATCCAGAAGGGAAACAGAGTCACAGGGTGAGCCCAGTGCTACACCACCGCCCAGCTACGAAGACATCAGTGTACGTGGTGTATGATCTATGAACCACATACAATGCGTTGGACTCTATAGATTGCTGCCTAGTCTGTTTGCTTTGGAGCCTGCCTTTCCTCCTCTAAATGATCATGAAGTGAGAGGGAAAACATAGATCAGCTATTCAGATCAAAATGGCTGTTCTGTCTTTTCTAGGAGTAAATCCAGAATAATTAGAAATAAATCCAGATAATCCCAATGCTGCCATTTTCTGAGTTGTGTGGATAATCAGTATGTTTTAAAGCTTTCATATTTTTAATACAATCACTGATGATTGCAAATATTTGACAGGTAGCAGGACGAAGAAGAAAATATTTTTGAGTACCTAGGATGCCCGTTGAAATGCATGGGGGAATCTTTACTAGAGCGATCCAGCCAAGACTAGCATCTTAGGGTAACATTTTCATAAAAGCCTGGTGACTTAGGTGCCTAAGTGCCATCTTAAGAAATGATTTAGTCACTAAGGAGGCTAAGCTGCATTGCCGCTCAGTGACACCAGCTAAGATTTTCAATAGTGATTTTTGGGTGCCCAGCATGAGACACCTTAAAGGGGTTTGATTTTCAGACAGTGCTGAGCACCTCGCCTCTGAAAAACAGGCTCTTAAGGAGCCTCAAGTTAGCACCACAAACTTGAGACATCCCAAATCACCAGTTTCTTTTGGAAATCTTGGCCTTGGCTCTTAGGTGCTGAATGTACTTTTGACGTTTCCCTAAGTCACTAGGGACCGAGGTTGTTCTGGTAGATAAGAACGCTGGGGCTTAAGTTGTACCCAACCATTGGTCACGAGCTGAAGTGCTCAGCAGCTCTGAAAATCCAGCCAGTATAGTGTGTGTATATATACACACCATATATATGGCAAAAATGTGCTTACTTCAATAGATTGTTCCCCCAGGAGGACAAAGAAATCAGCTTCCCTGTTCTGCGAGCAACCCAAGACAAAACTCCCCCAAATAATGTTTTGTGGGGAATCCTTGATACTAATTAGCTAATGAGTCGAGGGCAGTGCTTTATAATCTGAGTGGTTTGTATTCAGCCTGCTGTCCCTCTAAATCAGTCACTTTGCTGCTGTCCCATGGAAAACCCAAGTGTCTTGGTGTTTCAGTCCCTCCAGAAACAGCTGTGGGTCACACTGCTGGCGATTGCAGGAGAGTGGGGGAGGGGTAGTGTTGTCACTGTTATGGGTGGCAGTGATGACTAGCCAGTGTACTTTATGACTGTCGTTCGCCATACACACGGACACAAATATAGGAAGTGCAGAGTTCTCGCTGTCGTGGGAAATCACACATAAGGCAGCGGGAGATAGCAATCCGGTAAAATCACCATGGTGACACACATCAAAGCATTAATGGGAGGGAAGCAATCAAGCAGCTTCAGGGAATCAAAAAATTTATGGCCATTTTAGAGCGAGACTAAGCTAGATCCTCAGACAGTGTAAATTCGCAGAGTGCCATGGCCACAGAGGAACTACACTGATTACACCAGCTAAGAATCTGTCCCCCAGCCTTTGTAGTGTTGCCTCTTTAGCTGAAAGTCTGCTACTGAGTCCACAGCAGTGAGCGCTCCCCAGAGCTTACAGTAAATGCTTCGCATTCGGATTGGAATTGTGTAAAAGAATTTGTAGTTGCAAAATAAAAATCTCCTCTCAAAATTGTTGCGAAATTTTAGGCATTCCCTGTGTGTGGGAATTGACTGCATCCTGCTTGGGATCTCTGTGATTCTGTGTGCGTATGCATATATAGACTCTCTAGAGACATGAGGAGATGAGGAAGAGTAGCTTGTAGTCGTTGCTTTTGTGTGAGTGGTGGGGTTGTGGGGTCTCTGTTTCCTAGTAGATTTATTTCTCCTTCATGGGTGGGCTTGTCTCCTCCTATTTCTTGGGCTGGGAGGGGTCGGGGTTTTGTTTTGTTTTTTAAGGAATTTTTGCTTGGTTCTTTTGTTGTTTGTTGTTGCAAACTGAAGTTAATGGACAATCTTCCACCCATAAAAATATTAAAGCAAAAATAAAGCATATACTGCGCTTACAGTTAATTTTCCAAAACTGTGACCAATAATTGCTTATAAAGGACATTCATTCATATCTCAGCTGTTTCCTGTTTGTTCTCCCCTCCCTACAAATGACCCCAAATACTTATGCTACTTCACTTACTGCCTTTTGGTCTTAAGCATGTAGTAGGGTTTTTTTTTTGTATTTGTGTTTGATTTTCAGCTAGTGCACTATCACAGTACACCCAGAGCCACTTAAATATGTTATACAGTTTCAATAAACAAATGCGCATCTAAGCCAGCAGTGAAGGCCAGATAAATTACAGGCTGTTGTCATTTGATCCTTGGCATCTAAGCAACAAACTCTGTAAAAGAGGGATTGTAATAGAGTTTCTTCTGACAGAAGGTCCATAACCTTAGATGTGTCCTCGTCAGAGGACGTTTATGTTGTGAAGCGCTCTGCAGACCCCATAGTAGATATGGAAGAACAATTCAAGGACCTGCTCTGCGTCTGTGGTTCTTCAACAGCCATAAAACAGCTCTGCTTCTAATAAATAATCTCTTGCGATCTGGGGATGGTGGACTATATCCAAGGCCAGATCTTTCCCCATGCTCAGCACAGACTGAACTGATGTAATTTCACTCCTTGCAAGCCATCTTCTAAGACTGTAACACTTACTAGTGTGTGAAGGAAGGCCTGGCTCACGAAGAACCTCCGCATCCAACGAGAGAAACTTTGAAGGACGCTGCTGAGGTATGAGGTATTATTCAAATATTGTTTTTGCTCCCTCTGACGATGAAAAGCTGTTCTCCTGCCATTATCTTTGCTCCTTCCCTCCCTCCTACACTCCCACTGCCTCTTTATGGCAGGGTTGCTGGCAGTTGGTTTCTTTGTATTTATTTACAAAGAGAATTGAAGCATTTGTTTTGGAAATAGCGCCAAAGAGAATTCCAGAGCCTGTACAAACAGACAGAAGATAAAGACAAGGTCAGATGAATTTTGGGTCTGTCACCAGCCTTAACAAAACCAGAAGGGCAGCAACAGAGAACTGGAGTGAAAAAACTTACTTACCTCATGGGGTCTGCTTGTCCTTAACCTCTCAGTGGCTGGGACTCTCTACAGGGCAGAGCTCTTAAAATGAAATCAACTACTGAGACACAATCATTATGAATACTTTGCACTTCTCTTGCATCTTCCACCTGAGGATCTCACCATGCCTTACACACTGGATCACTGGACTAAGCCTGGTAGGGCCCCTCTGAGGTGGGGTGGTAGAATTATCCCCATTTTGCAGGTGGAAGACTGAGACGTAGAGGGCTCCGTCATGGCAGTGCCATGAGCCTGGTGAACTACATTGCTTCACAGGCTGCTCCTGGAGCAGCATAGCTGACTGTGACCCCACTGCTGCCCAGTGCATGCTGGGGGATGGGCAGGGTATGTGTGTGAAGCCAAGGCCTTGCTCACTCTCATGCCTCTCTCGTCTGCGGGAGAAGGGGAGCAGGGGCTTTGCAATGGCTGCTTCCCCATCTCCTCGGGCTCCTACCATTGATTTAGGGAAGTGCCTCCCACCCCCCCATATTCTCCAGGGTGGGGGCACAGAGCAGGCCCCGATCTGACCCAGAGAGTGTGACTTGCCCAAGGCCACAAGCTCTATCTGCAGTCCCGTCACAAAGCCACATTTGGGTCACGCCTAGAGTGGGTGAATGCAGGGCTTAAATTCTCTGATTATTTCCTGGGGCTCGGGGCTTCTGCCCCGTGGGTTTGAAAATATTGACCAGAGCTCTGCTCCGGACAGCTCTGGTTGAGTTTAAGCCCTAGGTGCATGTACAGTCGTTGCTAGCTGGTTCTAGCATGGCTTCCCTGGCTGGTGTAGGCAGGTTTGTTTAGAAAACAATCCCTCCTGAGGTTCTTACTACCACAATGGGCCTAGGCTATCAGGGCATGTCTGCCTAGGAACCGTATACCCTCCCTCCTCCAAGGACATTTCTGGCTCATAGACAAAATGTTTGTGGGCCTGATTCTCCACGGCTTTGAATCTGACTGCACAAGCTGCACGGCAGTGAGAGGTGGGCCCCAGAAGGCTACCAGGGAAATAGGGCTAGCACCCTTGTAGCTGGGTCTGGCCTGTAGTTGGGGATTAGCCTGCATGAGCTTCCAGTGGAATACGAAAATACAGGGAAAGTTCTACCTACTGCCAAGAAAATTGTTCCTGCTTTGACTTCCTGGAAAACCAGACCACTCAAGATCACAGGAAACCCATTTCCCCCGAAGATACGTTGCCACAGCTGCATTAGAGTTAACATTTGAGCTTCCTTTTTAATCTTCTCTCTAGTTGCCAATCCCCTGCCATTCTATGAATGTCTCAGAGCCACCAAAATCAAAGCCAGCTGCTAAGCACTTACGAGCAACCATACCGAAGCACCTAAACGAGGAGATTATAACCAACGAGGAAAAGCTTTGTTTTAAACGTATGAGAAATACGATGCCCTTTTAATTTAAAACCCCTCCGTGGGCTTTCAGGTCAGGCTGCCCTCTAATCGTGGTGCCCCCCGTCTAGCATAATTACCACCCTCTTTAAAAATCATCGGGGCTCGCTGCATTTAGCTTCAGAGATTCCAAGGCCAGAAGGGACCATTGTGATCACATAGACCTCCTGGAGAGCACAGGCTATGGACTAAGGATATGCACACCATTGTAGCTACAGTCATTCCTTTACACTCGAACAACCACTAATGCTGCACCAGCACAGACTGGGGCATACATCGGTGCTGCTGAAGTTGGTACTAAAGCCAGCTGCACTAGGACATCATTAGGGGGTTGAGCCAGTGTCACGACATCATTGCAGGGTGGATTTCCTTAGTATACACCAGGGATCGGCAACCTTTGGCACACGGCCGATCGCGGCTCCCACTGGCCGTGGTTTGCTGCTCCAGGCCAATAGGGGCTGCGGGAAGCGGCGCGGGCCGAGGGATGTGCTGGTCACCGCTTCCCGCCAGTGGGAGCCGCAATTGGACGAACCTGCGGACACGGCAGGTAAACAAACCGTCCCGGCCCACCAGGGTGCTTACCCTGGCGGGCCGCATGCCAAAGGTTGCCGATCCCTGGTGTAGATAGTGCCCAAGTGTCCTAGTTGTAGAGTGGGCTCTGCAGCAAAGGCCGTGCTCATTCTCTTTCAGGGGCTGAGCTGGGATCGGGGTACATTCAGGCCAGGTCTACACAACGAGCACTGGCATAGGAATACCAGGTTACCATGCCGGCAAAGCACTGCTCGTGTGGACACAGCTATACCGGCGAAGCATCACTGTGTACTGGTACAGTGACACCACCCCCAGGAATGAAACAAGCTATACCAGTAGTAGTGCAGGTCTGCCAGTATAACTGCGTCTGCTCTAGAGACCTCTGCTTCTAGAACTATGCCGGGCCGGGAATCACACCGCTTCACAGCTATGTCGGCAGAAGCCTGTAGCATGTCCCCAACCTCAGGCTGTCAAGAGACACCAATCTGGGATCTACCGGCCATTGGCACAGGGTTCGCTCAGTCAGTCTCAGACAGACTGGTGCCAGCCTGCGGGAAATGCGCCCACCTTCCCGTCCAGCTCTGGGGAGTCCTCTCCAGGCAGGTTTTGCAGGGATCTGGTGTTTCAGAGCTGGTGGGATGGCAGGGCTACTCCCCCACAAAGCTGGGGGTGGAAAATAGCAAAATGGGCCCCTTGGTGCTGTAATCTCCCCTTTCTGTGTGTGTGTGTGGGGGGGGGGGTCTGGGGTAGCGGTAAGAATGGAGGTATCTGGCAGCGTGGTCCCAGTGAAGCACTGCTGCTGAAGAGCGAAGCGTCTGGGGAGATGTCCATGATCTCTTGGGCTGCAGTTTCCAGGTGGTCTGAGCACATGGGGACCCGCACCCTGATGGAAGGACTGGACCATTAAGCTCACAGTGCTCCCTGTCCCCTCGCAGGGTTATTCCTGCAAAGGGGAGAATGGGGTCCTTATTGTTTTATATTCATTAATCACGAATAGTTGTTGGTGTCCCTGTAATATTGACCTTTGCTGGTGCAACTGTGTGTCAAATCCACATGGGGGCGCCAGGAGTCCAAAGCTTTTAGTCCAACTATTCCTAAATCCATTTTTCAAAGGGAGATTACCAAATGAAAACATGGGAGCATTAAGCGTCGCAAGGGAAAGGCAGTCGTTCCTCCCACGTAATTGAAATCGCCCATTAACTCCCCCCAGGGTCCAGGGGAACCAGCTGAATGTCGGATAGGGTCTATGTTGCCCTCTGCAGCCCTTTAAAATACACTTACATGGGAAAAATCATGCAGCTGAAAATGATGTTTAAAAGACACATTTATGTGATTTGATTGTTTGTGGCACCCCTCAAGAGCTGGCCTCAGTGGGGCAGCTGGGGACGGAGGAAGGACTAGCCCTCACTTCCTGACCCCACGCAGGTAGGCTACAAAGCACGTTGGTGCGACCTCAGAGGAGGGAAGGATGGGGATCTGATACACGTTCGCATGAGGGCTCCATCTCCCTACGTAGTTCTGGTGTTTCTGTCCCCAGAGTAGCCAAATAACAATGGTGGAACCTGAGATTGTCCCTCACGCCCTCTTGCTTTGGATTAGCAGGGTCATCTGCCCTGTCATTTAAGCCACGCTTCTCTCCTATCCCACTAGGATGAATCCATTTAAAAATCAAAACAATCACCTGTCCTCCTAGCTGAACGGAAGCATGAGCTCTGTCTCTCCAGAGAGATGGCAGCCATCCCAAAGCCAAACATTCTCTCCTGGGATTGGGAGAAGTGCCTGTCCCCATGGGAAATTCTCCCTCCCCATCTCTGCTCCTTCCTTCACAGTCTGTGGGTTTGTTTTTCACTCCTTCTGCTCTCCCTGGCTCCATTTCCCACCCTCCTTTCTCACTGAAGTTTCTCTCTTTCCCCCCTCCCTGCTCCATTTCTCCCAATCTCGCCTATGCAGGACAATACGTGATTTCAAGTCAGCCATTAGAATCCACAACACAGGAGTGGGGCCTGCTCTGTGCTCCAAGAACTGTGCTGCGGGGAAAGATTTCCTTCCACCTGAATTCGGGCTAGTACCCAGGCCTATCAAAACTGACGTCCCAATCCCATCTCCTGGAGAGCAGGGAGATGATGGTCATTGGCAGCTGAGTGCAGGGTGCACCCCAGCAAGAAGGCACAGAGGACAAGGAATGAAGAACCAGAGAAAGAAAAACATGGTCCCTCATTGTGTGGGTGTGATTGATATCTCCTTGTAGGGATTTCTGAGGGGCTTTTTCGGTGGCTGTTTCCTCAGCAGGACACATCACTAGAGTTGGTTGAAATGTGTAAATTTAAAGTTTTCTGTTATTTTATCAAAAAATTGGAAAGCAAAAAGTTTTCAGGAAAAGTTTACAGTTTTGGTAAAAGCTTTACCAAAGAACTGAACATTTGTACCAGAAATCGGTTTTTTTGAAAATTAAAACTTTTTGAAAATCAACGTTTCAGGTTTCTGTTTTACAATAAATGGGAAATGTCAACGAGAACCAAATAACCATAATTTCCTCCCCAAAGTTTTCTGCAAAAAAGTATATTTTGACCAGCTCTGGCCAGAATCCCTTCAAAACACACCCAAAGCTCTTGCTCACGGCGAATCATCATGGTGTGATTGCTCCCATAGCCACTAGTAGACATTCATCTGTCCTGCTTGGAGTGTGACCTTGCTCGTAGTCCTTGCAAGAAGAGGATGAAGTTTCCAGTGCTAACAAGGAATTATCCTGTTGCATCCTACCTAACTGTGAGTTCTTTGTGGCAAGGTCTGATTCGGGGGCCTGGAGCACATGACTTATGAGGAGAGGCTGAGGGAACTGGGATTGTTTAGTCTGCAGAAGAGAAGAATGAAGGGGGATTTGATAGCTGCTTTCAACTACCTGAAAGGGGGTTCCAAAGAGGATGGATCTAGACTGGTCTCAGTGGTACCAGATGACAGAACAAGGAGTAATGGTCTCAAGTTGCAGTGGGGGAGGTTTAGGTTGGATATTAGGAAAAACTTTTTCACTAGGAGGGTGGTGAAGCACTGGAATGGGTTACCTAGGGAGGTGGTGGAATCTCCTTCCTTAGGGGTTTTTAAGGCCCAGCTTGACAAAGCCCTGGCTGGGATGATTTAGTTGGGATTAGGTCCTGCTTTGAGCAGGGGGTTGGACTAGATGACCTCCTGAGGTCCCTTCCAGCCCTGATAGTCTATGATTCTTTCTTAGGTATCTGCACAACACTTTGCACAGTGGGGCCCTGACCCTAGACTGGGGTTCCTAGGTTCTATCGCAATACAAGTAATAAATCAACATCATTTCCTTTCCAATAGCTTACAAACATAGTGGTGCAAAGACACATCCACAGAGCTCAGGAACACCCGTGCTGTATGATATGCCTGGAAGGCATCAGCCTTATCTTTTCTACCGGTGTGGCTCCATCTCTGGGCCCTGGTGCTACTAACCTGCCCCCTCCCCCTGTGACCTCTCCCTTTCCGACTCGCACTCCCTGGCTAAGGTGTTCTGGAGCCTGGGCTGCAGGTGCCTCGAGGGAAGGTTAGAGTGAAGTGCGCTGGGCAGCTTCACTGGAGTGTGAATTTCAGGATCTTGTTTGCATTCATTACACTCCCATTAAAAACTGGCTGGCTCAGCCCTGGGCAGGACTGGTCTGACTGTGCAGCTGATCCTCAGTCCCTGGCAGCCTCTGGGAACACACTCCTGGCTGTGCACCTCAGGAGTGCTCGCCGGGACACAGACAGGCAAGGGACTCCCTGGCATCTGTCTCCTCCCAGCCCCGGGCTCGCTCTCTGCATGCTCGCTCTGCCCTTGGTTTCTACCTGTGTGGTTTGCAATGGCTGAGGATAAAACTTTCCGCTACGGACTCATAGTGCTGGGCTTCTTCCTGGTGATGATTGGGATGTTCATCATGAGCGTGGACAAGCCCCAGGTCTACATCACCTTTTGCACCCTGGGGGTTTTAACCATAGCAGTGGGGATCACCTGGAGCATGTGTCAGTGCTACCCCAAGGTAGGGCCGAGTCTCTTATCTGCGCTTTCTGGCACAGGGGGGATATGGGCGGGGCACTGCAAGGCATCGTTGGGAGCCAAAAACCATCCACAGGTGCTTAACGATAGTAGCTGATGGCTTAAATTCCCATTGAGACAGCTAACTGCCCTGCTGAGGGGTGGGTGGTGCAATGCTTAAGGCACCAGACCAGGAGACATGGGTCCTATTCCCATCTCTGCTACTGACTCACTGTGCAGCCATGGGCAAGTAATTTAACTGCTCCGTGCCTCAGTTTCCCCATCTGTAAAACGAGGATAGTGGTACTTACCCTTCGTTCCAAAGTGCTTTGAGACCCAGGGATGAAAAGTAATAAGTATTAGTATCCACTAGTAATGATTGTACAGTCACTGTAAGGCTTGGCCCAGCATTCCTTCTCTCCTTTGGCAGCTGATCTGTCATCAGTCAGTGCTTGTGGCTGGCTCTGGGATATTGCTGAGTGTATATGTCCCATTGACTAGCTGGCAATTTCTCCTGGGTGTGTAATGCATTGCTTCCCTCGAGAGGGGCTTGGGAGCATCAAGGGGCTTCAGAAGATGCCCTCTGCCACAGTCAGGCAATTCAGACTAACTTTCAAACGGGCATTTAAAAGTTACCATAACTTTGGGTTGGTTTCAAAAAGAATACGTGAAACAGCTGTGAGTGGAGCAGGGAAGAGAGGACAGACACTTCTTCTGCCTTACTTTCTCCACCTGGCCCACGGCACCTCCAGTTATCTCTGTGCATGGGGAGCAGACACTTTGCCACTGTCCACGGAAGGGGTTAGGGGGATTACATCTAACTGGTGTTACAAAACTGTATACCCTTCCATCTCTTCAAAGTGCTCCTTAATACCTAAGAGGAGATGCCCCATAAGGACACACACACTGTTTTTCTATCCCCAAAGAGCCTGCTTTCTGCCAGGTTTGGCTTTAACCCTTAGGATGCTAAGACAGCTGAGGAGGCTGGCTGCCGTTTCCGGAGAGTTACAGGCCCAGCAGGCACAGGAGAAGCTGGACAGGGTGTCTTTCTTTTCTCTGATCCAGGGATAAAACCCCTTCAGGCTTTACTGAAAGCAGGGCCGACTTTCACTGGGCAGTGCAGTGAATCCCTGTTACTCATGAAAGAAGGAATCATTTAAAAGAAACTATCCCGTATGTCCCAAGCCCTTTGCTATACCTCTCAGTGACAGCTGCACTGTAAATCATTGCTGTGAAATGATGAACAGGAATCAAAGAATGAAGAAAGCCTTGATTCATTTCTCAGGGTCGCGGTTGGAAAGCCACCCCCAAAATCCACCTTGATAAGGATAAGGAGAGAGTCCCCTCCCCCACTTTCAGCCGGTGTCTTCACTGTCTGCTTTCCAAAGGGTTCCTCTTGCCTTCACAGGACTCTTGAAACAAGTTCTTTTGGGAGACACGTAACAGAGGGGCAGGCTGGTGCAGCAGAAATGTTTTCACGCAAGCAGCTTATTGAACAGATTCACGACACCGTGAAAGAAATTCGTAGAGTAGGGGAAGAACTGATCTTTTGCCTAAGGAACAACACAGCTGTGTAAGTGAAAGGTACAGGAGATAGCCAGGAAGGTGCTGGGAGGAGGAAGCGTTTATTTATTGCTCATCCATGGCTGATAGCTTTATATAAAGTTGTTTTAAATTCAGTTTAGATTAAGGGAAAAAGAACCCCTAGACCCTGTTGAATCCATGCCCAACCCCCAACCCTTTGACTTAGGTGGGTCATTAAAACCCCTTTCGGAGGTTAAAGAATGTTGATAGCGCAGTAAAACAATTTAACTCCCATCCTCTGAAGAAACATCAATCCAAGAACACTATTTTCCCACTGGAAACAAGACATTAGCTCGAGGGTTATGTCTGTAGTCTAGAGTCCCTGAGGGACGCAGGGATACCGACCAAACTCCTGGTGTGGACAGCACTATGTCGACAGAAGGGCTTCTCCTGTCAATGTAGCTACCACCTCTTGCGGAGGTGGAGTACCGACAGCGACGGGAGGTCTCCTGTTGGCGTAGGTAACATCTGCACTGAGCAGTACAGCAGTGCCACTGCAGCACTGTATGTGTAGACAATCCCTCAGTGACGCAGTAGATCTGGGCCTATGACAGTGCATGTTGAGGCACAGCATGGGGTGGGGGTGGGGGGCAGAACTGGAGGTTATTTCACAATGAGCTGAAGGGTTCACCTGTGACAGGGATCCGGCTCCAGAATTTTGTATTATACGGGGTCTTTAATTGCCGGCAATTAGGCCTTTTTAGTGTCACTGAGAGAGAGCTGTAAGCTACAGCGTCTGGATCTGGATCCAGACTTCCTGAAGGTTGGGGCGGGGGGGTGGAGGGGTTGGCTCTGGGGCTTTGGTTTGGCCCATTATAGCGATAAAGGCCAGCCATGAAGTTTAGAACTAGATCCAGTCCTCAGAGTCTGTAGGGGCGTGGATTGGGAATGCTGGGAATCCGGCCCGTTGGGCCCATCCTTTCCCAGGTGATGTCTCCATTTCGGGACCACACCCTCTGGGCTGCAATAACCCATGCAAACGTCCATCTCTCTCTGGGAAGAATCCTGCCTCTCATCCCCCAGCGCTCTGGCCACCAAACATGGCTCCTGGAGGGAGGGGAAAAGCCGTGGAGCCCCCAGCTTCTCCTCAGACTGAAGTCCATGGCGAAGCTCTGACTCCCTTGAAGGGCCCCTTTGGGGAACGGCCTGCCTGTCTCTGAAGGGGCCTGTCTCCCCTCAAGATCTGCCATCGTTTCTGATGGTGCTGAGGGTGGCCAAGCTGCTGCTGGGATTTGTGCTTCAGAGCCTGCAGGGCCACCAGTTGGCCCAGTACAAGCACGCTCTCAGTTCCATTTGGAACGAGTTGGCATTTCTCTACCTGCCTCCTCTGTGCCTCAGAAGGCAGGACGCCCATTGTCATCCAGCAGGATGGCAGGACTGAGCGCACTATTGGTGACATAATTAAGTCCCAACCCGGCCAGGCTTGAGGTTCTGAGCATGCTACATGGACCACTGAACACTCCGGACCTTTCACGACTGAGCCCCTGTTGTGGTTCTTCTTATCAGCCGGAGTTTCCTGGCCAGGGGAGCAGCGTGCATATTGTCTGTTCTTTGTAAATGTGAGCTGGGGGCTTAGATACCTCTTCCTTGGCAGTGTTTTGGATGTAAAAATACCTACTTAAAGTGCCAATGAAGTGTGATGTCACCGCTGGGAAGGAGTTAATGATAGCCCCACGCCAGGGAAAACTCCTCCTCCGCTGCAGGAGATTCACCCTCTTTGTTCACATTCAGAGGAATGATTCATCCCTCTTTTTTTCCTCCCCCCAGATAACGTTTGTCCCCATGGAGACGGAGTCCGAGAAGTTCCTGTCACGCACGCCTGCTGTTTCGATAGAAAATGAAATTCCGGAGAAGAGCTGGTATGTTGGAAAGACCCCAGGCTCCCAGCCGCAGCTCAACAGTTTGCAATCTGGTTTTTAATGAGCGCCTGAGCTTGTACACAAGGTTATCTGTGTGCCTCCGGGGACGAGGGCAGGGTCTGAAAACCCTGGCATGAGGGAAGGCTAAAAATATTTCATCTAAAAAAAATTAAAAAAATAGTAAGCTGAGGGGGGAAAAAAAATCCTGGGACTGAGGACTCCGTTTCCATGTTCTTTCAACCCTTGACTAACATCGCTTCTCTCTGATGAGGCTGCCAACAGTGGTGTGGAGGAAGGGAGGGTGGTGTGACCTGATCCTGCAGTCCTTTCCCAGCTAGACATCCCACTGATTTCAGGCCTTTCCCAGGCAAAATCCCCCACTGAAGTCCTTCTCTGCTGTTCTGATGGTGGGCCTATTCTAGTGCCTGTTGAGCGAGTGCCAAATCCTGCAGTCCTTTCCTAGCCAACCCCCCACTGAGCCCCCCATGTCAAACTGCCATCGACAGCAGCAGGGACGTACTGCAGGCTCTCTCAGTAGGAACTAGACTAAGACCAATAGTTAATGTCAATGCCTCTCAGCTGGGGGTGACTGTTGGTCACTACAGGCTGGATCCAAACCTCCCCACCGTCTGGGGAGTTCAGATGTGGGGACCCTCTCTAATACAAACCTGCTCGATGTGACATGAACATGCTGCTCTTCCCTTTTGTGGCATTTTATTCGTTTCCTTCTCAGCTAACGATAAAATTCCTGTGTCTAACCAGAAACTATTGGAATCCAGTTAAATGGCAGAATTTAATAGCGTCCCTTCCCCTCTTTCTCCCTCAACCCAGCTCCCAGACTCCCTACACCAGCCAGGAAGAAGCTAATGTCTATGAGAAAAGCCTGCCATCTTATGAACAGATCCAGAGGAAAGCAAAGGGCTCTGTGGAGTGTCTGGGGATTCAAATGGCCCCGCTCCTAGGTGACTGTGAGCTCAAGACAAGAGGATGTCCCCATCCCTTTGTACAGGCCAAGGCTGAGGTCCACAGGATCTCAGAGAACAATGGAGAAACCTACAGAGATCCAGCATCCCAAGTGGTCACAGCAACAATCAGCAGGTAGGTGACCTTGAGGATCTGCTATGGAGGAGTCCAAAGGGCAGTAAAGTGGCACTTATGGAGATTCACACATTACAGACATAACAATAGGCAGCAGATACGGTGATCAAATCCTTCCAGCTAGATACATCTAACCGGAACATGCCTCCTGAGCTGCTGGATTCTCCAGGTACCCGGAAGCTCTTTGGGCCAGGGACTCTCTCTTTCTATGGGCATGTCTACACTGGGAAAAAATAACCCATGGCGCCGAGTCTCAGAACCTCGGGCTTGTGTTACAAACAGCAGTGTAGGGGTTCAGGTTCAGGCTAGAGCCCTGGCTCCGAGTCCCTGCCCCCCTTGCCAGGTTTCAGAGCCCGGGCTCCAGCCTGAACCCAAAACACCTACCCTGCTGTTTGTAGCCCTGGTGTGTGAGCCTGGATCCGTACCTCAGGTGGGCATCCTGGGAGCGATTGCAATGTAAACAGCAGCAATGCAGGTAGGAAACAGTGCAATCCAGTGCAGGTAGGGTGCACGGCTGTGATGCTGGATGTTCTGGGCACATCCCAACATCCCAGGCCCATCAGGAGACTAGTGACATGTGACAGCAGCACAGCATGGGCAGTGGAGGTTCAGCAGCAAAAGGGTTACGGCGACTGGCTTCCTGCTTAACTGCTGTGGTTGTGAAGCCAGAGAGCTGCATGGGCCAGCAGGAACACGCTGCCTGGTGACTGGCAAACGTCTCTGCAGGCAAATGATGGGGCATGAACTTGCTTGTCAGATGCTTCACACAGAGTTAAACATTTTAATATACAAAAGTTAAGAGGGAAGGTACTGTACATCTGGGGTCAGGCTTGGGTTATGAGGGATCACAGGTATCGGTTGCAAGGATGAAGAGATACATACATATCACATAACCAGCATAGACCCAGATTGGGGTGCGGGAGTTTTTAGAGCGTCAGTGGATAAGTGGGCTTGGGTATGCCACCCATGGAATGTATTAAGAGTCCAAGTCAGTATCGGTGTAGCGAATAAGTACATGGGTGGGGTGCGTCCCTTGGTTCGTCAGGGAAAGAAGTGGGTTAGTTCCTTGGTCGGCGGTCTCGATTACTCAATGTGGTATTGACAGTGTCCTGTGAGGTGTTCCATAATTTAGGACACTCTGAGTTCACATGAGCCTAACTAGGTGCTGCAGCTTTCTCTCCTCTCCCAAACACAATTCAAGGCCAATGCAACGGGCTTTCTCTAGCCCCTTATATGAAAAACACAGCCCGGCCTCATGAGAGCCTGAGCCAGCACCCACTGAAGTCAAAGGAAGGGGTGTTTTTTTGGAAAGGGGAAGGTTTTCAAATGCACCAAGGACAATTGGGCAGCCAGGTCCCCCTGTGTGCCTTTGAAAATCACCCCCTGCACGATTAACTGCAGGATTCCGGCCTTTCCTAACCTTCATTTCCCCGCTTTAAAGCAAAAATAGGTCATTATTTCCCAAACCCTGATTGCCAATAGGGTTTAGGCCCCTTAGCATCCCAGCTGGGTCCTACATAGGGGTCCATGATGGCAGACCCCTGGATCACAGGGGCTCACAGGTGTTGAATATTATTTCAGTGCATATGTTCATTGAAATCATCATTAGACTGAACCCTGACTCTAGCTCCTCCTTGTGCTGTAATCAGAGTTTAGATAATATTGAGGATTAAAATTATGTTCTCTCTGGGAACTTTTAATCAAAGTTTGGCAAACTATTGTTTGCTTTTTTATCCAAATTATTTGTAGCAGACCGGATCAAATCACTTCCAAAATTTGATTAGGGAAGGCAATTTCCTTACACTGTTCTACGTCTCAATAAACAAATGTCATTCCTCAGAGTAAATCCATGTTCCCAGTTCAGAGTTTCAGGCAAAGAGAGACCTAACTACTTCTTCATTTAAAGACTTCAAGCAAGGCGTACAGATGCCATGGTGATGGGCTCAGTGGAAGTAGCTGGATTAGAATCCTGTCGATCCCCAAATTGCTTTACAAACGCTACTAACCGATAGTATGAACTATTGATGTAGGAATCAGTTGCCCCCCCCCCCCGTTGCTGGAATGCGGCCATCTCTAGGGTAGAACATGGTGGCTTTTTAACGTGTCCATAAGCAACACTATTCAACAGTTTAGGATGAGAGGTGAAGAGTATCATAGCCAATTGAAATGACATGGGGAGGTTAACTGGGTCATTGCCATCTGCCTAACTGACATGCCCTTGATCTGCTTAACTATTTCTGGATAATCAGTTAGCAGCTCACAGCAGGTCTATCTACTGGGTGATGAAAGGAGCTCTGAGCTCTCTATTCTCCATGAACCACTGGCAGGAGAGCCACGGGAGTCTGATTATGCCTGTGCCAGGATTTACAGCAAGGAGACTGTCAAAGGACACCGTGAACTGTGCAAGTTCTCCTTGGAAGCTGCTGCACAGCAGATGAAGGAGAGGAGGAGGGATGGGCAGGTGGGCTCTTCCGAAGGTACCAAAATGGAGAGATTGGGCTCCCTCTGTGTACAGTGTCAGAGCCTCACCTGACTAGTGGCAGCTGAGATCCACAGTGGGGAGGGGAAATAAACAGAACAACATCATTATGAAAACCAGGCACAAGTCAGCTAGTGAAAGGAACACCATGAACCCAGCGAGCATCTGCTCAGCTTGATTTACTGTAAACCCCATGGCCAAAAACACAAAACAGGGAAACAACAGCACAGAAACCAGCCAGTAAATGAATCCGTGCCCTTCAATGTACCTTTATGCCATTTTCAGCCCATCAGAGAGGTCCCACAGTGCAGCGCCGCTGGCTTCCTTCCCGGAGGACACTGACCTTCCCTCTTCCGAGGGATCCACCTCCAGCAGCCTGTTTCTGGGGGGATCCACCAACTCACTGAGGAATCCGCTCCCATCACAGGGGCACACCCAGAAGCCCAGGTCTGAGCTTCCTCGCTATGAAGATTTTGCCCTGATTGATTCACCGCTGGCAGAAGGGTGGCGTCCAAGCCAGGAGCAAACACCAGCCCTACCCCAGAACTACCTGTCTGGGGCTGCCTCAGCAAGACAGTTTGCATTGGTCTCAGGTCCTGGCTCAAAGGCAGCAGAGTCAGGAGAGAGACAGAGTGTGGAAGAGGATGACATGTATTATGGGTTAAAAGAGGGGCCAGAGAATTTACTGATAGCGGATGATTTTGTCTTTGAGCCAGAGACCTAACCCTGGAGGGGGGAAGTGACCGTCAGAGACAGGCCCAGGTTGCAGCGCTCAAGTGCTGCTCAGTCTCCCCAGTGCCTCGCAGATCAGCCCTGCTTCGACTGGGGGTTGGGGGCAGCTTGCTGGGAGGCCACAGCCAGCTGCAGGGTTTGTGGCTGTTCGGTCGGGTCCTGGCTCCTGGGAATGCGCTGGTTTGTAGGGGGAAGATAGGATGCTTGGAACATTAAAACAAGGTCTGATTCATTACTGAAAACACAGCCTGTCTCGCAATCATCTGTGGAATACGACTGTTTGGAGAGCTTTCGGAGAGCAGTGAATGCCCCACGGGCCAGTACTCTGCATTCACTTCCCCCTCTCCTGTACATATTTAGCTGCTGGCCCACCTGACATGGAGGCTGCAATCCTCCATGCCGTGGGTACTGGGAGTCCATTGGCATCAATTAACAGGCCTCCTCCCTGCACCCACGGAGCCATGTTTTAAAGGGGGAGATGTCGTTTGGGCCCATAAAACGTGCCCCTGTAATTTTGTTCCCAAGCCCCAGCCAGTTGCACTACAACGCTCAGAATCCGGGCACCAGTCTGTTTGGGCCCACCGCTCGTTCTTTGGGCCCTGAGTTAATGGGAACAAATGTTACGGGTATCCAACCAAAAGGGAGGCCAGGGCTCAGGCTGGCTGAAAATGTAAACGCCAATGTCCAAGAAAGAACGCAATGGTTTTTTCGTTTGCCCAATGAAAATAATTAGGTAAATACGGTACTCAGAAAAGTGGGCCTTTACTCCAGGCAGGGTTATCCAGGCCTACAAGTGGCTGATCACTTGGACGTTGTGGCGTGGAATATGGGTCCCTGGTATTACCTGTGATAGTCCAGGTCTGTGCTGCCTAGGCACTGGGGAGCCGTTGTCTCTGCATATCCCCAAGATCTGTGGATTTGGCCGGCGTCAGTCTCCATAATCCAAATCTCTTCCCCAAGAGCATTCAGTGCAAGTACCATCTGGAGACGGCAAACCCTGAGCCCCTCATGCAGGTTTTTCTGTAGAAGGCAGGAATCTAGGGTGCAGTCATGCTGCACCATGCAAACTGTGGCCCAGATACTGCAAAGGCTTACACGTATTTGGCTTTCAGACTGGGAGCAGTCCCATTGTCTTGACAAGGACTGTCGATGTGAACAGAGTTCAGCACACGCGTGAGCCTTGGCAGGATCAGGGCCAGCTCACGTGCTTAGGAAGGGAGGAGGAGACTAACTTCTCTGATTGAGACAGCAGGACTAGTTTCTAGGTAGGCAAAGTGTATTCACCCCTGGTGGACTTCACAAAGCATAGATGTGTCAAAGCTTTTTTCTAATCATAAAAGCCCCACAGAATTCAATTAGTACCAATACGAGGGATCCTGAATGCTATTTTGCTATAGTTTCCAGGTTAAAAGGCACTTCAGCTGAGAACGTCCCGCTCCTTAACTCCTCACCTCCACTGGTGGCTGCGATGTGGGGGGAGGAGTTCTTTAGGTAAGAGGCAGTCAAGCAGAATGCAGCTCACGTGCGGTCAGCTCCTTGCCTCCGAGGAACCACTTCATGCGCCGACAGATGCCTCGCGGGGTCAGCGGGGCAGAAAATCTGGAGCGACTCATGTCAATTTCAGGATCCTGCAGCTGCTGAGCTCCTTTGCTTGTCAGTTTGCCTCCTGGTGCTGGGAAAGGAAGCCAAGCTGACAGCAAGCCATGGAGCAAGCCAGCAGCAGCTGTGTGAAATTGACAATGAGTGGCAAAACAATTGCCAGCCATGTGACTCCTAACTAGGCCATCTGCAAACCAGGTCATTTATTCAGGACCCCAACAGTGCACCTCGGTTTGAAAACCTGGGCCCTTATAGTTGTCAAGGGCCACATAGGTCTGTGGCCTGAAGTTGAATGATACAGTGAGGATGGTGTTGCAGGTTCTAGCCCATTAACATCTGGTTTCATTTTATCACGTGAATACGTTGTGTGCAGTTGGAGTTTTCCACAAGAGCTAAGTGCAGAGTCTCCTTGATCTGCCTTTGAGCGAAGGGCCATGACACACACGGTTACTTGGCTTTCATTCAACAGGAGCGTACACTTGAGCACTAGGCCGGTGCTGCACAAGGTCACTCACACTTCAGGCCATTGGAATTAAAGATCTGTACAGATTATTTCTAAGGGGTGCTTGGGGATCTGAGAGTGGCTGTGTCTCATATATTGGGTCTTGCATTTATGTTTTTCACAGGCTTTTTAATGCCTAAGGGAGCCCTTGATGTCAAACTAATGTGTTATTTGGTTTTCTTATGATATAGCAGGATAGAGGAAATACCATGAGAAGACCAAATCTCACTGCTTGTTAGCTCCAGAACTGGCTCTCTGAGGTATTAAACAGCCTACAGAAGGCACATACAGAGGTGGATTTCTCCAAATGCTGCTGTTCGCAGCTGTGGGCGACAGGGGGTCTTGCAGAGTCCTAATTTCCCACTGAGACTTGGGGGTACAGAGTAAGTGTTCTCCCTTCAGGCCTGAGCCCCACTGCCTCACACGTTAGCTGGTCATTTACACCTGAATAAAGTGGTTGCCAATGCTACTGAATCGTAATTCTCTACTCACACGCCTGTGAAGGGCTGCCAGGAGTACTAGACAGTGACTATACAAGGTGCAAGGCAGGCCCTGGCATGGTACTAAAAATTAACCCAAAGCAGAGCCCTGAATCCACCCCCCCCCCCCCCCCCCCCCCCCCCCCGCCTCCCATCCGCCACCAGCCCAGGTGAGTTGAGGGCCCATTCTGGCTTGGGGCTCTCTCTAAAATGGCCAGGGACCCCATGGGATAGAGAGGGAGGGATTCAGTGTCACCCACAAAGTCTTTCATTGGGACTGATTGGTAACAATCACAAGCTACTTAAGCAACTGGATGGCTCAGATAACACCCCGCAGCAATATGCCCCTGGTTCTGATCTGGCTCCTGTTGGTAGAAGGTTGTTCCCATCTGAAGAATATTGGGTCATGCCTGTGAGATGAATTGGTGGTCTCCCTCCAGTCAGCACTGTGTAGGTGCCTGCAGCAGAACCACTGGTGATTTTTAGCTGGTAGTCTCATTAGATAGGCGAGTTGGCCTTTCATTCCCTGACCTCTCTCTCGGGTATGGATCTTCCAGGGCAGAGCAGAGGCAAACCCAGGCTGTTTTCTTTGGCTCAGTTACATCCCATGACTCCTAGTTAAACCATTGGACTGTCTCTGAACAATTCCTCTGGTCTGGTGGCGGTAACACCCTTCATGGACCTCCTGTTGGAGCGGTTGTACTGTGCATCAATAATGAAAGAGTGGATGGAGTGAGGAGGGGGGGGGGGGAGGAAGGATTGTTCCACTGTGGATAAACACTGAAATAGTCATTGGGCATGAGAGACTGGGAATAACTCTGGGGTCCAGAGTTTCAAGCACGCACCTGGGAGATGGAAGACCCCAGAGCCACCCCCCGCTGCTCCAACCACTCTTTCATTGTTTAATCCAGAGAGCAACAGCTTCAACAGGTGAATCGGAGTATCCCAGAGCTCAGTGGTTGGAGCACTCTCCTGAGAGGTGGGAGATCCCTGTTCAAATCTTTGCTTCCTCCTCTCTGCTAGGCAGGGGGCAATTGAACCTGGGTCTCCCACATCCCAGGCAAGTGCACTAGCCCCTGGGCAGCACCCCCCCCTTCCTGGAATGGGACCCAACCAAGTAGGCAGTCTCAGAGGATGCCTACCAGATGGGGTCCTGCATGCAACGTAGGTAGCCAAATGCCTGTCTCTCTCCAGTTCATGAATTGCTGTGGGGCTAAGTTGGGAGATGGGTGTCCAGATGCCTAGAGTGAGGCAGCAGCGTGCATACCCAGCAGCAGAACATGGGCACCAAGAGAATTGGGGCTCTGAAAAATGGAGATGCTGAGGGAGTTTAGGCACCTACAGGGTTCAGCACCAGATTTGTGGATTGGCTACAAAGCTGGGACGTAGGCAACCAAACCCAAGACTTCAGCGCCTACAGCTTGAGTTGAGGCACTTAAAGTTCTTTTGTGGATCCCACCCTATCTCAATAGGAAGCATTTGGTTTAAGTCATTTTGTCAGAGAAAGGCCTCGGCACCAGAAGAGATGAAAACATAATTGCTTTTAAAAAGTCTTGTTTACAATAAATAGAGTCACCCAACCCAATGGGAGTTATGACCTGTACATGCCCTTCAGAGTCCTGCCTGGAACTCTGGACAAGTCACGGAGACTCACCTTACCGACAGCTTATTGGGCATGACACAGCTTCCATATGAGGAGAGATTAAAAAGACTGGGACTGTTCAGCTTAGGAAGAAAAAAAAAACAACTAAAGGAGAAATATGATAGAGGTCTATAAAATCATGACTGGTGTGGAGAAAGTGAATAAGAAAGTGTTATGTACCCCTTCACATAACACAAGAACCAGGGGTCACCCAATGAAATTAATGGCAGCGGGTTTAAAAACAAACAAAAGGAAGTATTTCTTCACACAACGCACACTCAGCCTGTGGAACTTGTTGCCAGGGGATGTTGTCAAGGTCAAAAGTATAACTGGGTTCAAAAAAGAACTAGATAAATTCATGGAGGGTAGGTCCATCAGTGACTATTAGCCAAGATGGTCAGGGATACAACCTCATGCTTTGAGTGTCCCTAACCTTCTGACTGCCAGAAGCTGAGATTGGATGACAGGGGATGGATCAGCTCAGTAAATTGCCCAGTTCTGTTCATTCCCTCTGAAGCATCTGGCACTGGCCACTGTTGGAAGACAGGAGACTGGACTAGATGGACCATTGGGCTGACACAGTATGGCCATTCTTATGATGTTTCTGCTCTTGTCCCTCCATTTGAAGGGTATTCAAAAATACCATGGCCAAAGTTTTCAGAGGTGACTAGTGATTCTGGGATCACAGTTTTTGGATAAGACACCTTCCAGGTCCGGCCTGTCAGAGGATGGGTTTTCAGCCCTTTCTGAAAGCCAGCACCCTTTTTCGC